TGTCTAAAAAAGATAATGAAGTAACAAAGAAATAGAAAACCTGCTGAAACGTAGAGGTTGAACACATGCAACTCTGCATGGATGAAGAGGAAAAAGCATCAGGAGAGTTCAACAAATTAGAAAGCTGTAATTGTGTCAAATGATGTAGTAGCAGTAGTCCTCTACTTGTATGACAAAATGCCAAAACGATTCCATTGAAAAAGCATGAGATTCTGTAAAGAAAAACAGACATTTCTCTGGGGATTCAATGCATACATGGCATCTTTACAACTCCAAAAAAAAGCCCTAACAAGAAAGCTGGAAAATAATGTGGCAATACTGATGATCAGTACTAAATTTACATATCTAGAAGAATAGAATTTTGAATGCTAAGGATGAACCAAAATTACCCAGATCAAATAGATTCAACTTCGATTGAAAGGCCCATTGGGATCAAGTTGTTTGCACAATCCAAGGTATGTGAGATAAAGAACTCGATCCTTAGCACCAGTCCTGTGATTCTTGGTGTGTTTGCAGAAATACTTCAACTGTTCAAGAGTACAACAACCAAGCATCTGACCCAGAAGCAAAAACAACCAGTTAATCGATTTCTTCTTCTCCGAAATGATCGGTTTCACACTGTTTTCTTGATCGCAGAACTTGCAGGTTGGTAGAATTGGGTTTGTCCACACAGTCGGAGCTCGATCGTGCATGGAGGCTTTGTTTTCCACGATGAATGATCCGATTTCGATGAACTTTTCTCTCAGATCGTAATCCATTTCATAGTTCTGTTCGCAACGCTTGCATTGGACTTCGCCGGTGATTGTCGATATTTGTTTGGATAGTAAGTGGTTGAGGCTGTGCACGGTTGCGCGGTGGGTTGTGGCCCATGGGAATGGGGCTGGGACGGTGGTGCTCTTCCCCTCTCGTGGACCTTGTGATGGGTTCCGACGACCACGACACGGCCGCGACGGACCCCCCTCCTGGCGGCTCACCATGGGTGGTATTGGTAATGCCAGTGAATCTGGCAGAGGATGTGGTGGCGACGCGTAGAGAGTGTGGGAGGGTGAGACCTGGAGGGCTTGTTGTGGGTGTGGTTGTTGCAAGAATGCGTGGTATGGTAGAGGTTGTTCTTGCCCTGGTGGTGGCGGTGGTGGCAATGGCAGAGTAGGGACGAGTGGTGGTGGTGGTTGTTGTTGTTGTACTGGTGACATGCTGTGACGTCTACTAGGACGAAAAGACAAAGAAAGAGAGAGAAAATCGTTGTCTTCTTCTTCAAGTTCAGAAATTTGTATTGGGATCTGAAAGTCAGGACTGTTCTTTCTCTTTCTGTTGATTTCTTGCTCCTTAGTGGTCGCCATTGTCTTCTTCTTGTTCAAGAACTTGGGCAATGCACAGAGAGAGATGAAATTGCAGGAAAAGAAAATGGAAGAGAGAGATTGAGAAAAAGACGTGGGTCTGTTAGAGAGATATAGATTGGAGATGATGATAGAGATTGAGAGAAATACAGATTCTGTGTAGGAATTTCAATTGGGTTAGAATTCTTTCAAATTCAAAAAAATGTCCATTCAAATTCTTGTTAGATGCTCTAGCTAGTGTTTTAATTCCCGCCTGACTCTTAGTAGTGGTGTTGGTCTGTAACTAACTCCCCAGTACAGGACTAATTCCTTTATGGATGCCACTATATATGGTGGCATCTTAGGCTGCGTTTGGCTAGCGCCAAAACACCGGAAAACACAGAAAAATAAAAAATAAAATAATTTTTTTTTGTTCGACTAATTAGAAAGTACAATTTCTCGAGAGAGTTATTTTTTTCTTCAAGTGTCAAATTTTTCTATAAATTTCTACTTTGGTTTCCCATAAATTATGGGGGAAAATTTTTGTTTTTTTGTATAAGTTGCCTTATTTTTTCTGTTTACCCACTTACCGTTTTTTTCTTTAGATTAATATGATAAGAATAATTTAGTCCTTTTACTAATTTTTATATATTTTTTTAGCAATTTTTTATTCTAATCAAACGTATATAAGAAAATAAATTTTTCTTTGCATTTCTTTTCTTTCATTTCACTTTCTACCTTTTTTTTATTTTTTATCATCAATTTCTTTCTAATAGATCCCACCCATAAAATGAGAGATGTTGATCAAATTTATTAATCGATATGTATTTGATACAATACCATCTGGAAAATAACACGATTTATTAATATGAGTATTAAATGGGTTGGATTAGTCTTATTAGATGTGAGTAATCCATTTAACTAGCATTGTGATATGAACACAGGCAATTTTTTTTTAATTTGTAATCTAATATTGTATAAATTACTTTAAAATTAAATAACTTTTTTATTGGTATATGAATCTTGAAGATATATAACACCATATAAAGATAAAACTACACAATTCGATCGAAAACCCTCAAATTTTACTTGAGCAGATTGCTTATTTTAAGGCTAATGGATACCCATTTGTATTTAGGTATATATCATTTAGATTCGAGATTATATTTTGAATTTTTTGTATTCATGTAATTATTTTCACACCAATGTGAAGTATTTTTGCACTTTTTTATTTATTGTTTGCATAATCTGTTAGTTTGAAATTAAATAGAAAACGAAAAAAATAGAAAAGGATACCAATTGGACAAAGCAGACGTAATGAAGTAGGACAAAAGTGAGAGAAGATTAGTTGAGGTGTCTTTGATCAGATCGGAGTAAAAATTAGTCGAACCTTCTCTTGATCATAGAGAAGATGTGTACACCCTTCTCTTTCTCTTGATAATAAGCGAAAATGCTTCAACTTCAATGTTGAACGTGTAATGGGTCTCCTGAAATTCCAGTGTGTCCAAAAGTCTAGTTTAACTGCGTGTCTCATTGAATTACCAGAGGCAAAGGAATTTTTTTCTTGTTTTTTGTGAACTCTCTTAATTATGAAAGAAAATCATTGACCGTTTTACACAATTTCTCTTAATTATGAATTTAGTGTGAGTTTTTCACACTGAATTCATTGAATTTGGCATGTTGTTTTGTTTGGGCATTTATTTTAGGAAAAAAAAACCCTCAAAAAGTGATAAAATTCCTCCAAAAAAATAAAAAGTAAACCCAAAAGATGAGGGCTCAGCGGTAAATGAAAAATACAAAGAAATCATTATTTCTGAGCACAGAAAAACACACACGCTCTAAATCCACATAAAAAAGAAATAAAAACTCCAAAAATATTGTATTATTGAATTAATTAGAAGTTATAGTACATAGGACAACTTAAAGGAATCATCAATGGACCAAAATCCATAGTATTAGAAAAGTTACTAAAAATAAATAAAACAATGCCTAATGAATTAACACGTTTTAGGCAACTAATAATTCTCGAATATTCCTAATTAAATTTCAAATTTAAGAAATAATAAAATATAAAATTTGTCAATTTCATTCTCCACCAGACCTTCCGTTTAAAAAAAACAGAAACTCATCCACGAGCTTCTGTTACTTTAAACAATTCATTACGTCTACGCATACTTTCATCTACCTTGTACTTGATATTAATATTCTATAGTCCTACACGAATTGAAATAATGTCTTTGTCTCCCCTTGTTTCTAGAACTAGAGATTGTACAAATATGTTGTGTAATATTCAATAGTGTCATTGATTTTGAACTATTTCCCAATAGTCAAATCAATATTGGTCATCACCTTGTTATAGTTGACTGTAACGTTCTCGTGTCGCGTCATTTTCAATCGTACGATTTTCGTGTTGTATCATTTTCGGTACGTGCTGAGTTCGTGTTAATAAAAAAATATTTAATTTGACAACAATTAATATAATATTATTTAAAAATTATAAAATTCTTATTTTCTATCTAAAATACTCATTAAATAATTATTTTCTATCTACAGTACCCATTAATCGTGTCAAACTTTAATTTGACTCATTTATTCCTCATGTCAATGAATCGTGTTATTTTCGGGTTCGTGTTCGAGTCAAAAATTGACACCCCTGCTTCTCACCATTCGAGAATACTTATGATAAATCTGTAGTGCTCTCCCACTTACTCCCACAAATTGTCATGATAATCAAGAAAATAACCACAAAAATTGTCAGAAATACCACCAATACCATAAAATTGAGATCCTTGCTTCTCCTTTTGTATATCTATAAACACCTTATCGGAAACTTTACTTATGTCTTTTACACCTATTTTATCAGACTCGCATATATCATGTTCAACCACAATAACTTTAGTCGGTGTATCGTCAACCCCTGTGATTGTCACTAATTTTCTCTTCGTACTTTTCCTTTAACATTTTCTTTTCTTCATGATAATTAGGATTGTTCATCTGAGCTGTCAGGTAGAAATTTTTTGATTGAGTTGCGGAAGACTACTCCTTTGGCCAAACCAACATGATTGAGAGTAATGTTTCGAGAGTAATGTTTCGAGCCCAATTCTGTCAAAAAAATAGGCTCAAAAAATCGGGAAAAAAGACGAAATATCTTATAAATTTTTAAATCGAATAAAATTGAATTTATGTCGTGTCAGAATCTTTTTGACCAAAATTTATTAATAAGTGAATGAATTTATATGATTCATCTGTCCAAATTATGCTTCATAGGTGGGAGGAAGACTGTCCAAACAAAAGCATAGAGACAAGGTTAAGGTGAGTTAATAATTTAATTACCATAGTTTTAAAATTTATTTACTTAGTCCCAATATAGATGACTTGAGTTTGATCTAATCAGAACGAAAATGTGCGTGTAAATTGACTCGACCCTGATTATTGAACAAAAAAAAAATATATATATGTAGATAATGTTATTTTATACTTATTTATAAAACACAATAGTATTTTTGTAAAAAAAATATATTTTTAAAATACATTTGCAATACAAATGTTTCCAGATTCCAGTGGTTTAAATATTAATTCAGGTTAAGGTGGGTCTTGGTCTTGGGAGTGTTAGGTGGAACCTAACTCGTCCCAAGCCCTGCTATTTAAAAGTAGTTCGAAAAGAGAGAGAAAGAAAGAGAGAGGGACAGATCATACGAGCTACAGACGAACTGAAGGCTCAGTTAATTAATTTCTACTTTTTCTGGAATTTTTCATGCTTTATTAAGGTTCTTTTCTTGATTCTCTCTCCTGGGTATCACTCACTTGTTTAGCCTTTCCCATGAATTTATCTCTCTTCTACTTTTTCTCCAATTTTTCATGCTTTACACTTGTTATTTTCTTATTTTCTCTTTTGGGTATATTCATTTGTTTTGTTCTTTGTGATTCTTCAGTACTTGGTCTAGTATACCTGTGAAATTTTGGATACCTTTTCTTACCTGATTAGATGCATATTTCAAGAATGTTGTCAGTGGATTTTTGCAGGTTTTCAGATCCTGTTGGCTTTAAGCTTATTTTTCAGATCAATTATGCTCAAACTTGATTGGTCATGTATAATTGCTGCAGCCCACCTGCTAGAATTCAAGTTAGCTCCTTAAGTTCTCAACTTCTTTGGCTCTTCTAATTTTTTATTTTGTTATTTATGCTTGTACATATGAAGAATGTTTGGATCATATATTCTGCTAATGATGGTATGGGCATTTGTACAATTAATCCATTTCTTGGGTGGTTGAAGCCGGTTTGATGATTTTCTTTTGTTTCTCATTTTTCTGTAGATTGATGGAATTGGGTGATGAAATGCAGAAGATATTACTCTGGATTTCTCAGGCAAGTAATTGTAATTGTATCTACTTTATCTGATTCTCTCTCTCCTGTGTTTCATCATTGATATGTTGAGGGCAGAGGTTTTATTAAGTTAATTGGTGATGTATTATTTCCAAAGATAACTAGATAAGAAACTCAATTGCAGAACATAAGGAGGATGTGCCCTCCTATACAAGACACAAATGATCGAAGCCCAACGAAAATAAAATGGTTGGCATGCATATTCCCCTATACATAATAATCAGCCCTACCATCAGGAAACATGGGTTACTACTTCAGCTACCAACATGTAAACCACACCACATACAATAGTAAGGGAATTTTTTCATACTACTAAGCAAAATCAGCCTCTGGAAACCTCAATGTATGCAAGCCAGCAGGTTTCTATGACTTTTTCTACACCAAACCATTTGACAGCAAAGCTCTTCCCATGTACTGGATATCCTCTAGGATGTCTTCAATGTATCTATGACCTTACAAAGGCTCTTTGATTCCTCCTAAGCCATGATGCCTAATATACAATTACAACTAATACCAACTTTCTTAGCCTAACGATGTAAGTAGCCTAATGAGGACTGTCTTGCCTCCTGGGTGTTGGTTATTAGATCCTGAGTATTGATGAGGAGGCACTCCAGTGCTTGCTAATTATCCAATTATCATTAGTATTATCAATTCCACACCACCTTGCAAACTTTGCCATGAGCACATTTGGATATCATTCCACAACTCCTGTATAGATCTACACTCATGCATGAAGACTTTTTTACTTCTTTCTGCTCAAATCTGGACAAAGGATAAAGCTAGCATCAACTTCTGCGTTCTTATCAAGAAAGTCTTACTGTTCAGATTTTTCACAGTCACAATCAATTCTTGTTGCCACCCATAAACACCTCGTCTGATGAGACACCGGCAAATCTGTTCCAATATTTTCTGGGGATTTCGACGATCAGAGAACAAATCTTTAATGCTTTCTTGCCTATTTCAGCAGAGCATACTTTGGTTTGAGTTGGTGATCCCCAATTCTATTAAGTTGTCCCTTGTCAATAATACCCTGTGAAAACATTCCAAGCACAGAATGGAAGAACACTTGGGTATATTCTGAGGGAACCAGAGTAAACTATACCAATCAAGTACGGGAAAACACTCCCTAATAGTTTTCCATGTTGAATTGGAGGTGTAGTTCCCATGATGAAATTATTTCAGGATGTAAAAATTTCAAAGGAGTATTTGTGTGATATCCAACAAGGCCAAGAGAGTGCTTGAGGCCATTGACAGATATTTCGAGAAATAACTGAACTCACACTCCCATTTTCTGAGCTTCCAAAGCCATACACAGCACAATCTCCATGGTTGACACCCCTCCACCCAGGGCCCATAAGATGCAAATATCTATACAATAATCTTGTACTCCTATTGCCTATGTTAATCTGCACAAACCCCTTTGCAAGGTCCCTTAGCTTCAAAATTTTCTTCCAAGTCCACAGTCCATTATCAGGTAAAGGAATTTGCCAGAAATTTTACCCCCCTGTATGCATAACATGCACTTATGTTCATTGAATCAAGCCCTGGCCATAGTAAGATCTCATCACCCTTGTAAATTTTGGGAGTATGTCCTTGTTAATTCACCTTTTTTATTTATGTATTTTATCCTTGTGATTGACTGTAATGGTATATTTAAATGGGTCTTTATTGTTATTTTATGATTCTAGTTTGCATGTACATTAGTTTATTCAGCCAACAGATAAACTTAATGTATGCATTCTGCGAGAGATGTTGACTCATCCATCATGAAAAATGTTTACTGGTGTAACATTTGAAAACATGTGGGTTTTTTAGTGGATGTAGGTTATTAAGATAGAAATGGATTGCGATGGGTAGGAACCATGCCTTGCAGTTTTCAACTGTTTTAACCCCAAGAAAACTTGAGGACTTCAACTTTTGAGGGAATGGTTTGAGGGTTAATCATGATCATGAAACTGGTTTAAGATGCTAAAGATGCCACTTTGGATGTAATAGTTCTCTGCCTTTTTGTGGAGATGAATAAGTTAACATTGGATAGAAAGAGGCTCTTTTGTAATTGTTTCTCTGTATCAATCTGTTGGATTCTTACTTATCCTAGATTGGTAAAATAATCTTTATCCCTATGTTGGAAAATCTGGACAACACATTATTACCATGTCTATCAAGAGTCTTTTGGTACAATCTTAATCACAGGGTAATTTTTTCTTAGTACGGACAACCTGTGGCCAATTGCATATATGTATGTGTGGTATGGTTATGTTTTTTCAAAGTCCCTAATTTATATGCTCATTTGTCTTTAAAGTTTTGTGCAGAGTGGCAATCTTGCGCTTTGTTTACTCTGGTGTATTATACATTTGATTGTCGGCATATGGTACTTTGCACTGGGTATTGCTGGTGCGCTTGAGAGCTGTCTTATCTCTATTGGTTTGTTGAAGAGGTACAAAGCCCTTGATATAGGCAAAGTCAGGTACCTGGCAATTGTTATAGACAGTGAAGAAGCTCGCCAGACATCAAAGGTTATTGAACTTCTGCGGTGGCTTGCGGCTATCGGTGTCAAAAATGCCTGCCTATATGATCCAGATGGTAAGGGTGCCTTGGTGAGACTGAGTGATGGTGGTGTATTTGTGCTTTTGCTGAAGGTGGTGTTGGAAGACACATATAACTAGTGTGTTTTTGTTGACACTTTGCTTTTGTAGGAGTCTTGAAGAAATTCAAGGAAGCCTTCATGACAAGACTTGGGGATGCGCAATTGTCTGAGGTGTAATCTTATACTTCTACAGAATCTCCTCTTTGCCACCGGTTTCCATTCTAGGAGTTTCTCACCATACGAGAGTTTTTTTATTTGATTCCTTCTCATGATCAATTTACAAATGAAGGGTTATTTTTTATTTATCTCGTTCTAGTCAAAGTTACAATATGTCCACTTAACAAAAGAGGAAAAAGGTGACAATATAGGCTTACATCATTATTTAAGAAAAATTATAGGTGTATATCATCAGCTAGTTCTGTTATTTGTAAGCATGTTTATTCTATTTGGCTAGATTTTATGCAACCTCTTTTTCGGACTAATATGCCAGGGGCTCCTGAACTATGCGCCCAGACTCACTTTGTTACCTATTATGAACTGCATCAATATGGTTTATTGGATTTTGAACATTCCAATTGATAATTTTTAATCCTACTTAGATAACAAAAGTAGTCATGTGTTTCTTATGTGATGTATCTAAGCAGCATTTGGTGGAAGAAACTAAAGACTACCCAAAGAAGAAGGGTTGAAAGATGATCAGTCATCTTTTCTCTCAAGGCGGCATGACCATCACTCAAATCCCATCTTACACCACAATAGGCCCGACCCCAATACTCCCTCATGCCAGCACAATCCCCCCCACGCCACACTCTCCATTTGTTGGTATCGTTGTGTGTTTGTATATATATGTGTATAATATATACAGAGATGGCTGTCATGGAGGGGAGCAGGAGTGGGAGAGGGAGAAATGAGAGAGAGTTGATGGGTGTTGCTCACAGCGTCGTCTTCATCATCTTCTTCTCACCCCCACTCATATTTGATCTCTGAGAGAGAAATGTAGGGTTCAACTTTGACCTAAATTCTTTCCTTTGGGTGGTGTTAATTTTTTCTGCAAAATGGCCTTCAGGTACATCACATAAGAAGCACATGACTACTTATATTATCTTATTTACATGACTGTTATTGATTGGACCTTTTAATCACATATTTTAAACTGTGGAGACCAATTTGGTGCAATTGGTAGTTGAGGGACCAAATTGCTATTAAACACATACTTAGGGGACCAGGATGTATTTTTTAGTCCTCTTCTTTTTCTTGTTTCCAGCTGCTGCTTGTATTTAATCTTTTTTCTTTCGAACTAATGCGGGAATTTTTCCATTTGAACACATGTAAAAAAGCTTTGCTTGTGCTTCTTGTTTTGCTTATATTAGAAAATGGTATTTTAGTGTTCTTGAGCCACTAGAATGTCATTAGCAATGGCAATGTTTTACCAATGTAACATTTGTTCCATGCAGGAAGCTGCTGTAAATGATCCACTGCTTGACCAAAAGTATATGGCTTTGGAATTTGCTTCATTGTCTGATGGAAAGGAGGCAGCAGCTAGAGCAGCTAACTTACTTTTTGTGAAGTATTATTTGGGTGGAGCGGATACAAAACCCATCTTCACTGAATCTCTCATGGCTGAGGCATTAAAGGCTGTTGGTTTGTCGTTTTTTCCCTCTCGTTTTTTGCATAACGTATACACACAGATATCTGATCTTTTAGCTATTGGTGTCATACCTATCAGGTTGTAAGGTGACGGAACCTGACCTTCTATTAGTGTATGGCCCTGCAAGATGCCACCTAGGGTTCCCAGCATGGAGACTTCGGTACACTGAGATTGTGTGAGTTACTTTATATACTTTTTCCAAATACATTTACTAGTTGTCCAAGGTGTCTATGTATGTTGAGCATTTAACTTAGCTGCGGGCAGTGGCTCTTTTATTAGTTTCATAAGTCTTGTGAGTGAGCTCATGTCAGAGGACAGGATTTGCCCTTCCTGAAGTTTATGAATTGGTAGAGTCCCTCAGTTGAGGTGAGTTTTGGGGTGGAGCCTTGGAAGTGGTATTCCTGCATGTTAAGGAAACATTAAGAAACCCCAATTTAAGCCTAAATAACGCATGCCATTCTACAAACAAACTATACACGACAGCTCTCGTAGACAGGTCATGTACAACATATCAGTCATTTCATACATATTCCTGCTATTGTAGAACTGAAAGCTCTTTAGTAACTCTTATCTTCAGTTTGTGAGGCGCTTCTTCTGTGTATTTGACATACTTCGGGGCTGACCTTGAACTATTTTACTGTTGCAGACATATGGGACCATTGAAGTCCATGAAATGTGGTTCCCTAATAAAAGTCATTCGCAAGTTCACAATGGTGCGCCAGAACTATGGTACGTACTTTGTTTTGTATGTAGTTGCAGATTTTTTTTTGGTAAAATCCGACGCAAGTGATGCACTCTCTCTTCCCAAGTGAACCCTGGCTTGGTAGGGCACCCCAACCAAAAATACAAAAGAAGGAAAACAATTCCTTGTCCATTTTATGTGGTCAACATATGAAACAGTTCTCCAATTAGCAACCATTATGTCCTTTCATTCATATGAGGGTTATGTAGTGCTGATCTGATGGCCACAACAGCAACAGCTCTTTTTTTTTTTTGGGTAAATCTTCTGGGGAATTTGAAAGCTGCATCCAAGCTATGGATCTTCATTTTTTCTAATTTTGTTCATAATTCATGTGATTACTGGTGATTCAAGATATGGTGTTAATCCCAACAGAAAAAAAGGGGCTATGTAGTTTACTTGTTCTGTAGTTGATGGTTACTAGTTTTGGTAGCTGAAGGTATATGACCCACACTTTGCAAGCATGGCCTGAGATCGGATTTCAATGCCTACACGTAGTAGCTTCCTATTCTGAGCAATGGAAACTGAATTCACTGCATGTTAATGTGATTGAGAACAGATTATCAATGATATGTGTATAACCAAATTAACCAATTTACAAAGAACCTCGCTGGGATTACTCTGTTATTTCTGTTTCTTGTCAGGTACATGAGGCCCTTCACGTGGAGGAAATTTTCTTATGTGACATGTTCAAGGGTAGAGCGAATGGAAAAGACTTGTAGTTCCCAACATTTGCCAGCTGAATTTTATTTACCTTGGTTTCATTTTGGTTTATGTTTCATGGAATATTGTAAGATGACCAGGTAGATTTATGCCACGAGATTGTGGGTTCTCTTTTTCTTTTTCTTAAAAAAGGGTGGGGGCAAAGGAGAGCCCCTGATCGCACACATTATTCTTCTTGGAAATGAATCTAATTAGACTAGCGTAACGGTTAAACACTGTGTTACAATGTGGACTACAAAATTCGAACCTCCAACTTCAGGGTGAGAAATTCAGTTGGTATTTCACTAGATCACCTCACTCGACGGTAGCTTGTTGGTTCTCTCTTTCTTTCTCTCTTTGTCTGGTTCATCGATTGGACTATCAATCTCGGGGCATAACTATTGTTGGTTCTGTCGATGACTCTCTCTTGTCCGGTTCATCGATTGTTGGTTTATGTTTGATGGAATGTTGGGATGGTATTGACTTTCATAAACTTAAATTCATTAGAATGAAGTAAATGTGGATGAGGCATAGCCAGCAAGGAGATGTTGTGTATGCGATTCTTGTCCTTCATAAAAATAATTGCCCGAGTGGAATGGTGATGGGGTTAACTCAAATTTTGAAAACTAAAAAGTTGCGGAGAAATGCAAAAGCAAACACTATGGAAGCAATTATGACAACTTTTTAAAAAAGAAAAATTGACTTTTTTTTCTTTGAGTTCATGAATATCTCTTTTGGGTTGCCTTTACTAAAAATCAAAAGCTACCAGCTTTCCAACATCACTTTATAAGTTTCATTTAGTGCTTAGTGGGTAACACCATTTTACAATCTCCAAAGATGTCAACTATTATGTCAATCTTGTCGGATTTAGGGCCGACCCAACAATATTAAAAATAAAGTTTGGGTTTTAGGTTTTAAATTTTTAGAAAGTTTCATAATTTTAGATATATTACTAATCCATAAAAAAATTAAATCCATTAACTTTTAAGCCTTAAAAAAAAGCCCCCCAAAATGAAGTCCAATCAAAATTTTCATTGCAATAATTTGGGTTAATGATGCAATTCATAATATTAGACACCTAAAAGTTTAGAAGTTAAAAAAATAAAATTGTATTTAAAAAAGTCAACTCATATTTACCTCAACTCATTCTCTCTTTTTTTTAGATAAAAAATAAAAACAAAAGTTGAAACCTCTTTCTTGACAACGTTAACACATCTTTCTTCTTTCTCTCTCACACATACCTCTCGCCAGATTGATTTCACATGCCTTAATCCTCATATCTCTATGTATGTGTGCGTGTGTGTTGAGATATATACAATATTATAAAAAGTACCTTAAAATTAAAAAGAATAATTTTTTATATTCAATCATATGCTATCTTTTTATCCTAATTGATCATAATCAGTGAAAACTTAACAACGATATGCTAATCAAGTTTTTTTATCTGAGTTTTCATTTCAAATAATGTGATATAATGGAGTAAATAACTTCAATTTTTAAGAAATAACGCATGTGGATTGATACTTAATTCATGAAATTGGATTGGTCAGATGAACCACAAGTCAAGCTTTGGTACAAATGCATGCATGATTTTTCTTCAAGTCTCTCTCTCTCTCTCTCATGCATGCATGATTATTCATGTCTCTCTCTCTCCTGCCTGAGCCCACCAAATTATTTCTTGTTGAAGTGAACTCGAATCTAGTGATCCATGCTTCGTCGGCTATGGATATGTCTGTTTTTCCTCAACTACAAAACACATGATTACACAGACAAATGAAGTGCAAGTGGGGAGTTTCTTAGTCCAAAAAACACTATTGCAAGTGAATATTAAACTCATGGTCATTGTGATTTTACATGCATTTGCTTTGCTGCCAAACCCTTTAAAATAAAGAATATGACAGAAAATCCAAGGTCAGCATTTCATCTAGATACCTTGAATTTTGATTAAGGGGACATCAATTGTGGGTCCCCCAACAAGTTGACTCTAAACTTTGTTTATGCACAATGAAGGGGTTTGAGAGAGATGCCCAATAGTTGCTTCCAGCCTTGTCAGTGGTACATTATAGAAATATTAAATAGCGCAAAAAAAAAAAAAGTAAATTATATTTTGTACCATGAAAGATTTCAAAATTCTTATTTTATACTATTAAATATTAATTTTTTTATATTACACATTCAATATATCAAAAGTATTGTAATATGACTATTTTATTAATTTTTCTGTCAATGTCGATGAATTAGTTTTTGACGAAAAAATAACAAAAAATAACAAAAATGTCACATTATAATATTTTTAATATATTGAGAGTGTAATATATAAAATTTAATATTTGAGGGCATAAAATAACAATTTTAAAATATTTTAAGATGTAAAATTGAAAAAAAAACCCAAATCAATATTGACTTTCTTTCTTTTATTATTTTTATTTGTTTCTAGAATGCCATCGACACTCATGTCAGGTATGTCCCCACGTCAGAGTAAACGAATGAATAACAAAATTAGGATGCCAAATCCAACTCTCTCTCCTCTATTTAGTTTAGACTAATTTTAGAGGACTTAAAAATTACACTTAAAAATTAAATTTGATAATTACAATCATTGAATAGGTAGTAGATCCCAATATCTATTAAAACCTACAGTAAAATCAATGATTGTAATTATCAAGTTTAATTTTTAAATCTACTTTTTAAATTTATGCAGCATTGCTCTTTAGTTTATTCCTAATACACATTCAAAGAATGTGACTAGATAACATCGTCTCTAAATTTAGACGTCATGAATTTGAATTTTGTCAATTTTTAAGGTCAAATCATGAAAAATTATGCTTCATGAATATCCTAGCCCCGACATAGATGACTTACCTTTGACCAGATCAGAGAGGAGATTAGTTAAGGTGTGCGTAAATTGGCCCGAATACCCCTAATCATTAAACTTTCAAATTTGGAAGTAATATAAACTAGGATCCTAATGAAAGAGTATTAATGTTAAAATTTAACTCAAATTAAGAAATAGAATCAATGGAAACCTGCTAAAATTGTGATACCCAAATTTGTCTATCAATTTTTGTATCCAAAGTAATGTGTCAAAATTATATACATTGAATATTTGGTGGAATTAGTGGGAATTACCCACATTGATTTGAGATATAAAATTTGGTAAATGATTTGGTGATCATAGCATTGCTTCTTTCCATAAATAAACCCCGTTTTTTTTTTTCATTTCATTTTCATGGTAAGTGGCCTATAAATAAAGAAGCCAGAAGTTGAATAGCCCACCCACCCATACCTTTGTTTCAAGAAATTAGCAGACATGAGATCTCTCTCTCTCGCCACCTTCTTCATTTTCTCTCTCTTCTTGGTAAGAAATTCTATGCTTGCAAGTCCAACCATCTATTTTTTTGTTGTATCGAAAGTTACGATTCAATCAGATTAAACAAAGACTTATAAAAAACTTGAGCTCAATCTCAACTTGTTGGGATGAGAACTTCCAAATCGATCCTAACATGTTAGAATCGGTTCAAAGTTCTTCAAGGTCCATCTCAATACTCAGGATTTCATTCGGTCGTAACTTGAGTTTGGTACCTTATTTTAATCATATTTTTCTTGTATATATGATTCTACATCTTGTGTTTCAGTTTTCAGACCTTAGCAGTGCAAGAAAAGACCCAGAAGACTATTGGAAGAGCATAATGAAAGGTGAGCCCATGCCCAAAGCAATCAAAGACCTTTTCCATGAAGATCTTGCATCTCAATCCACATCTTCTCAGGCTTCAAAAATGGATCATTTCATCAAGGATTTCGATCTCAAGCCTAGTGTTATAATCTATCACAGCCATATCAGGACTCCGAGGCGGGTTGCGAAACCGAAATCCGCCCCTAAAGCCAAAAATCTTTTGTTAGGCTAAGTGTAATCCAGGCACATAGAAAGTGCATATGAGCAGTAACTTATTGGGTAATGAATTATGTGACTAATCTTCTTGATTTATTCGGTTTTAATAATTTTGTAGGTTTTTGATTATATTTTATTTATAAAAACAATCTATTCGTATATAAGGTCAAGCTGTATACATTTGGCCCCTCTCCAACAATTCAATAACCCAATAGCGGGAGGTCGAGAACTTACCCCCCCCACCCCCCCCCACCCCCACCCCAATATTAATCATAATTGACATTTATGAACCTTTGCATTTGTGGAATACTTGGTATGGATTGGTGACGCCAAAGACCCAGGTCGAGCCACTGTTTCGTTGGTGGACCGGTTCAACCACAAAAGAACAGCCCACGGGTTGCCCCAAAAACTAGACCGAGCCGACTCATAGCCTGCTGAATCATTGAGTTGGGTATTTAACTTGGGAAGCTAATTCGTTATAATAATCATATCAACAAGAAGTCAATACGTTTCATTTTTTATTTATCAGCTATAATAAATTAAATTTTAAATTAATACAAATACTAATTTCTAGATATAAACACAAAACCAAGAAGCATTTTTGGTACTCATCAAAACATAACATTGATAAAGCAAGACCCGGACAAGCTGCCGTTTTGTACTTTCGGTTTATTGGGTCGGTTACAGTATCGAAAAATAATTTTTTTTTTGTAGGAATTTTTATTTTTTTTATCTAAAAATAATGTAAGCAGTATATTATTTTATATAATTTTTTAAAGTTTTTCAATCAAATGGTTAGGAATTGTCTAAAGTAGAGCGGCGATAGTGTAGAGCATGCACGTGTCGTGTTATTTATGGGATTCGTATTCAACAATAGTCAACTCTAACTCAACTTATTTAATTAATCGTACAGTGTCAACCTGTCTTGTTTATTTTTGTGTTGATGTTAACCCATATGTAACCCATGAATTAAATAAGATTTTTAAATATTACCCATGAATTAAAAACATTTTTTTGTATAATAAGTTCCCTTCGTGTAGGAGCAATGTTATGTATCCTCAAATAAAAGAGGATCATTGGATTAATGGGTCTCATTTAAAAAAGTTGATGGAACCCACTCATCTAATGGTATCCTTCATTTGGGATACATAGTATTTTCCTCCGTATAGTGTCAATACTTGATAAACATTCGTGTAGTGTTAATTTCGTGTTTGACACTAATTCGATCCCATTTATTATTCGTGTTACACATGCCGTGTCATTTATTGGTTCATATCGAGAAATGTTCGAGCCCTAATCCGTTAATTTCATATCAATTTCAAGTCGTACTTTCGTGTCGTATAAAAAAATTATCACCCCCTAGCCTAAACAAAAATATACGGCTATTATCAATTTTGGTACAGTATTATTGACAGCAATTCAATAGTCATATCCTACAACATTAATTAATGGGTTTGGTTTGGTAAGTATTTTCAATTATATTCAATAGTAATAATTAAGGATTCGGTAATTAATGTCCAAATTCATTAAATGATACGCTACAAGTTTTATCTGTAACAGACAATGCTTACATTTGTGATTTGGACAGTTACAAATCTGTTTATTATGGAGGTTTCATTGGTGGCTACACAAAAGTTAATGAGACAAGTAACAAAAGTTAATGTAGATAATCTTACGTTATGCATAATATAATGATAAGAATAATAATACTAATTGAGAATTCAATGAACGCTGCAATTCACTATACATGGTTATTTTCATCTGACGTAAGTGCAAGTTTCATGGTCCTAATAAAAAGATTTAGTATTTACCTCTATAATAATGCTATTGGATTTTTTTTAGCTACCTCATCATTATGTTAGGATATTAGTTGTCGTAGAATTAAGGTTGTCAATATTTGACACGACATATTAACAAGATGCGAATCGAATACGAAATTAATGAGTCGAACACTAAATTAAACGAGTCAATGGTTAAAATGGGTCAACACGCTCTAAATACAAAAAAAAAATTATGTCAGGTTCATGTCAAAATTAGGTCAACCCAATTTTGTACGTATTAAACCCATATATTTTAAACGAATTGACATGATTTAGACAAACACGACCACCTAACTTATCATAGACTCGTTTATGACAGTATAGTTTGTCCATTATGTATGATGTTATTATTTCTTACTTCTACTATAGTAATTGACAGTATAATTCTTAACATTATTATGACACTATTTATTATAGTTCTTATTTTAATTTTTGGGTTGAAACTTAAATGCATTTTAATTAATTT